GGTCCTAATTAAACACATTTTTCCTCTCTTTGATGCAGAATAAATGGTTTTGACAGAGCATAATCATTCTAAGGTCAAACGAAGTTTGAGTCAATGACTGCACTTTTCTTAAATATTCAAATAAATACGCAATACATTAAAAAATCGTAAACCTCAATCATCACTTTTTCACCAAAACCAAATTGTTTCAACCATCTCCAACTCTTGTTTCAAAGGGATAGTCAGGGTTGTAGTTCTTTGAATACTAATGTGGAGAAACTATTACCACAAGCTGGGGAGAACTTTGGATTGGTGAAGGAAAACTCAGATATCCAATAAGCTTCATTTAAAGTCATAGGTCTCTCCAATAAACCGAGTTCTGTTTCCATTCATTTATGCACTCTATACATGCTTAACCCCCCATGCCTAGGCCACGGCTAGCTAATTTCAGAATTTTACTTTTTCTAAGTCATCTTTTTTTCCCTGTTACATATCAATGGAAACAATTGAAACATTTAAACCCACACAGATCCAAACTAGCCAATATTCCCTGCTTATCAAGGCAAAATGACCACCACCATTCCTTCACTAACATCATTCTTGCCGAATTGTTTTATGACACTTTTTGACACATGCATGTAGCATACATAGAATCACATATACATAACCAAAAGGCAAAAGCCATTGGCAACACAAACAATATACACACTCGAACCTTTATTTAAAATAAAAATAAAAGAAGAAGAAGAAGAAGAAGAAGAAGATAATGCAAATAATATCAACCTATCATATCAAATCTCAAAATCAGCCTAAAACTAAGTTATCATGAGCCATCATGCAAAATAAACAGGCAGTTGCCAACTGCATGCCTTCAAGTTTCTAACAAGTAAAGCTTGAATAATATCAGTCTTTTAACCAAAAGATGCAACTTTTGTAAACAAACAATTACGAGAGGAAACAGGAAGTACTTAATTTCATCTTACCACATCCAAACCCCTAATGCACTATTTGGTTGCTGAGGAATTTATATAAAATGACACATACAGCTAAAATTATAATTCTCTTTCCATTATCCACTTAAGTGAAGCCACTAATTATTATATAATCTATAACAACATAAAAACACAAAAATGGAAGATTTTCCCTTTTTCTTGCCTGAAATTCCCAGCAACCAAACAGAGGATACATAGAAAATACAAACCCAACAAACGATCTAACAATGAAATTTCTCAAGAACCCCCAAAGAGAAAGTAAAGTTAAGACTTACCCATCAAAGCTTAGCTGAACCTTGTCCTTGGTAGAAACCCTAAGAGAGAGAAATTTAGAGAGAGTGTGAGGGTTAAAAGGGAGGGACAGAAGAAAGTTTGAAATGTTGGGTCTTTTAGGAGAGAGAGAGAGAGACAGAGAGAGTTCTTCTGAGAGCATCGTTAGGTTGACACGTTACGAACACTGAGAGTTCTGACTATTCGAGGAGTTATGTTCAGAACTGCCACGTGGCGGGAAGCCACTGGAGTTGCAGTAGAAAAGGATGCTCACGTATACCACTGTGACGTATGAGGAAAAAGACAGCTTGTTACGTGAGGGTATTTTTGGAAAGATGGTTTTGTCCAGATAAGCACGCGGAGGGACGTGGAGCAATCTCATGAGGTCACGTGACTGAAAGGGTCCCATTCACTTGGGAGTCTTGACCATTGTCATGTTCACGTGACAGACTTGTGCAAGCTGTCCTAGCTGGCATTCAAGCTGTGCCTTTTTCGGTTACATTTTGGAGGAAATTGGATGAGATATACAGTGATTTCACTTATTTTTTGACAATGTCATATTCTAAACTACTTTAATATACGGGGGGAGAATCGAATTCATGTGCAAGGGACATGCACATTGCCTAGGAGTGCTTTTAAATGCAAGGGGATTGTAGCTTAAGTAGTTAAGAATATTTACCACTACATCTGAGGTCTTAGGTTCGATTCCCTCTCATTCAATATCGCTTGTATATAAAAAAAGTGTTTTTAAATAATCTGTTAAACGAGTAAACTTGTCTTTGAAAATTCTATTAAAACATAATTGTGGGAGGTCTTAAGTTCAGTTTCCCCTTCCCGAGATCCTAGGTTTGGTTTTCCCTTTCCCCCAACTCCAGGTGCTCAGCCCACGCCTTTTGTTTGGTTAATGGATAGCGGGCTATCTATAAGATGAGGCATATAACGATACGATTGTGGGGTTTTGACCCAAAAAAAGACAGACAAACAATATGATTGTGGGGCACCTACAACAATGAAAGTGTTCGTGTGGTTAGTTGGTCCAATCACTGGCTGAGCCCAAATCCAAAAGCACACAAGTGGACAAGGCATGACGCTATGCAAGGACTCTCTCCTCTTTGTAATCCTTCACAATTTGTGTTTGTGTGTGTGATTGTGAATTTGTGATTGCTTGATTCAATCTTGACCGTTGATCCAAATTTTCACATCAACAAAAAGCAAAACCAGCAACCGAAAAAGAAAAGAAGCATAGATTTGCTAGAGGAAGACACGAGTTCCTAAATACTTGGTAAAATTCCACATTCTCTAAACAACTTCATTGTGAAAAAGGGCTTTTTCCCTTTTTCTTTTGCTTTCAGTTTTTAGAATGGCATGATATAAATTTATTAGGGTCATGCTAGGGAGACCAATTTGGGTACCAACTCTCTAATAGAGGTGGAGCCCACCAATACAATGGGTCCCACGCTCTATTAGAGAGTTGGTATCCCAAGTTGGTCTCCCAAGTTGGTCTCCCTAGCATTTTCCAATTTATTATCCATCACTTTCTTCTGTATTGGCAACTGACCATACATAATTATGAGCTGCTGAGGGGTTGGCTTGGCATGCTATAACCCAGTCGTCTAGATAATAAACATGAAGCAAACCAAATTGGTTGCAACCAGAAGCCACCTCCTATGTCTCATTGCTTGTTGGCCGACCAAGCTGAGAATGACTTAGAGACAAACAAACAAATGACACTAAATCATAAACTCTGGAGCCCACATCTTGGTTGAGGTTACCGACCCAAAAATCCCAAACTGTTTGTCTTTCAAGGCCGGCAACTAAATTTGCAGCACAAATTCATATTCCTTAAACCTTTCTACATCCAATAACAAGAAAAAACTTGCTGTTTCCACCTTATGTTCCCTTTGAGGAGGAAGCCAAATATGATGCATAGAGACATGGTGAGATTTTTTAATGTCTCAAAATGTCAAAGCTCAGAAACCCATCTGCAAGAATCAGCTGTGTTTTTTTAGGGTCGCATCTACAAAAATGTATTATTTTCACCTTATATATATATATATATATCTAACCATTGCTCTCCATAGAATAGTTTATTTTGTAGGAGAGATCATTGCCCATCACCTCAAAACAAAGGGAATATTCTAGCTCAGCATAGTAAATAAAGGAACAGCCATTTTACACACTGTGAGTGGGGGAACCATCCAAGTTCCTAAAATCTCTAATCTCTAATCTCTTTTATTGCCTTGCTC